GAGGCGGGGCCCCAACCCAGAGGTCGGGCGAGGCGGAGCCCACGCACCTGGGGGTCGGTTGGAGCTATAGTCGCGCTCTTGACTGCTTGGATGAATCAATATTGATGACCATTAGCTCCTCCTCTTTGGATACCCTAGTATTGGTCCCCGACAAGTATTCTTCAAAGAAAAGGTGTTGCAGCTGGCCTAGGAGAGGACCTTGGAAGCCCTAGTCATCACAGTTTTGAAGGAGATCGTCATAGATGAGTCACACGAGTGATCTATGACGAAACCATGTGCTCTTCTATGATGTTTTTTGTGATGATGCCTGATTTCATCATAGAAAGAGAGGGTTGCAGGATCGTCACCACCGATCTATGACAAAAATGGAAATATTCATCATAAAAACGCTCTTCTATGATGGTTTTGGATTCGTCATTAACATTTTCATCATAGAAGTGGATATATTCTAGTAGTGTGTTAAGGATGAACTTTGGCATTGGTTTTATTTTTATCAAAAGCATAGAGGCTGATCCAATGGCGAGCAAGGAAACCAAGCACTCTTCTTTTTCTTACCTTACCTTTTGCCTAGCTAGCCTATGCTTGAACATGCCATATGCCCACAACAAATCACTTATAGCCTATTTATTTGCCAGGTGAGGGGAGCTTGGCTCGCATCTGGGAACCAAACTCCATCTAGACAGGCTACAGAAATGCAAATAACCCTTGTTTGGTTGACTGAACCCAGAAAATTAGGCTGAGCAGAGTGCTTGTTTGGTTACTTGCGCTAGAAAGTGCTATGTTTAACTGAAGTAAAAAAAATAAGTACTAGGTGTAAGGGACCGTGACGCCTAAGAGGGGGGTTGAATTAGGCAACTTAAAATTCTACTTCTAACTATGGCCTCTAATTCCACCTAGTCAAAACCTATGTAAGAAAGTAATCTATCTAAATGTGCAACTACGGTTTTGCTAGGTGTGTTGCTATCTCTACCGCAAAAGAGTTATGCACCCTAGGTTCCAATCCTATCAACTAGCCTATCAACTAAGCTAGGAAAGTAAAGCACACAACCAAGGTAGCAACATAAATATGGAAGGTAAAGATGAGGTAGAAATGCAAACTCCCATCGATGACTCCGGTATTTTTATTGAAGTATCGAGAAGCGCGCAAGCTTTCCTCTAGTCCACGTTGGATCCCCTCGCAAGGGCCAAGCTCTTAGTCGGTTAACTCCGTGGATAGCCCTGGGCCTTCCCCGCGTGCAAGTGGATCTCCGATGTGCCCTCGGGTAAGCCTCTCCCAGATGCTCTCCACCATCTTCACTATCAAGCTTTCAACCGAAGTGGCGCGAGCCTTGTTCCCTCCAGTACACGGTGGCAGCCACACCATAAACGTGGTTGGTGTGATCTCGCAAGACTACAAGACCCGCCGAGTACAACAATGGTGCGCGCAAGCACCAAGTGGTAAGAGGTGTGCAAACCTCACTACACACTTGGCCTAAACCTAGAGCAAGCGTATATGAGCGTGGTCTAACTAACATAAGCACTTCGCAAAGCACCTACGCTAATCACCTTGTGATCTATTAAGACATGTGCAAACGGAGAACTCTAAAATGGTGTATCAACACTCTAGCATCTTCCCATAGCTTCTCCACCCCTGTTTTGGCCGGTGGAGGCTTATTTATATCCCCAAAGTTGAGAACTAGCTGTTACTCCTTCATTGGGCTGAAAACGTGAGCTCCAGACCGAGCTCCGGACCCGAACTTTGGGGAGTTCGTACCATGCACCGCGGGTCCTGTTGTCCACACGTTCAAATTCGACCATTGTCATGCTCCAACGACTCTTTTCCATGCTCCAGACTCACCCTCCAAACCATCGCTCACCTCGGTCCTGAGGTGTACAGAAACTGCACCGAGAGGTATTTTGGCTCTGGACCCAGTCCTGAGCCTACCTCTAGACCATGCACCACGGGTCCTGTGTGTTTTGCCTTCCGAATAGCTATTTTGGAAGCTCCGGACTGAGTCATGTGCTTCAGACCCAGGCTTTGGACTGCTAAAGTGACAGTCCTAAGTTTGACACACTTTCCTATTTTGGACATAACTTTTAGCTCCGAACTCCGATTTTGATGATCTTGAACTTTTTGAAAGCTAATGAAGAGCTCTACAACTCTAAACTAGTGCCATATCAATTTGAGCTAATCCAAAATCACAAGACAGATCCAATTCATTCATATCTTTGTCTCGGCTTCGGTGACTTCAATTTGTTCGTGTCTTGGTCCGGCTTCTTCATCTTCGCATCTTAGACTCCTAACTTCACTTCTAGGTTGATCACACATCCTCTAGTGTCTATCTTTGAGTATTGATCAAATTCTTTATGATCCAATCTTGGTCCAATCCGTGTTGCAGCCTATTGGACTACAAAACAAACACTTGCAAACACATTAGTCAAACTTAGTCTTGTTGATCATCAAACACCAAAATCTAAACTAAATGGGTCTAGGATCCATTTTTCTTACACTTGAGTAATATTTATTTGATTGGAATTGGTTGTATATCATTTATTTTTATTTCATTAAACCTTAATTTACTTTTAAATATATTAATATCTTAATTTATGCTAATCATCATTTAATACCATCGTTAATCTGTTAGGGGCGTTTGGTTGCCTATATAGGCCTGTTCGGCTTGCTGAAAGTGGCTGAAAAATACTGTTCTGGCTGAAATGTTGTGAGAGAAAAACACTGTTCCGGCTGAAAAAAGAAGTCGAACAAACCGGATATAAGGTAAGCCAAACGGGACCATATAGGTGAACCAGGCTCTGGAGATGCAACTTCAACGTGTTTGGTTGCCTGCACGGGAGTCTGGATCTGGCTCTCCATATGCAAAAGGCAGCCCAGAGCCTGGCTCGCCAGATATGGATTTCATTTACGTTTGTGTTGAGCCAGCTCTCATGGTGCAGCGTAGATTTTTTTTAATGATGCTGTTAACATGTGATTAATGTATATTAAGTGGTATTAGTGTATTTTAAAGTAGATTAAGATATTAGAAGTAAAGTTAGGACTATTAGAGTGTAGTTACATAAGTCAAATATTATAAGATTACTTATTTATCTATTTTTATTTTATACGGTACGACTTCATGTGAGCAACCAAATAGGATCTTTGGTGAGCCAGGCTCTATGCATGCAGTCAACCAAACAAGGATAGATTGTCCCACCGTAGCCTGTCCAGGTTGGGTTTGGCTCCCATATGCAATGCAGGCTCCCTAGAGAAGGGAACGAAACGCCCCCTTAACACCTGCATCCCGCAAACCTAGCTCTAGAGATAGGGACTTCATCCATGGTTCCTGTGAGCTAGGCTCGCGGGCACTGTTGCATCCACAAAGCCAGGCTCAAGCTATCAATCAGACAAGCAAACAGGCAACACTTATATCCCTAGAGCCTGTCAGCATGGATACAACCCCAACCAAACAGACTATTAAAGGCCTTGTTCACTAAGAGCAACTCCATTGTATATGTTTTTAGCAAGGTGCATGGCTAGCCATGTCACACGTTGTTATACAACTTAAACAAGCTCTAAAGTATAAACCTATTAGTCCATACCTAAATATAATAAAACCCATATATGGTATTCTAGTTTTTCCTCACATGGATGGTGGATGGAGATTGGAGATAGACCGGATGGTAGTGAATATTATTTGTTTATTCTTAGCACCAGGTGCAAAAACAAGCAACAGGGGCAAAGAGGTTACTGTATAAGCTAACCACCTGGAGCCGGATTCGGTGACGTTGCTTAGGCAAGTCACGGCGTCCCGCACCACGTGTCGGGCCATCCCTAGGTGGCTCGGTCCTGCGCGTTCCATTCCAGCAAAAGGAGTCCGACATGGTGGCACGGCGCATCGGCTTGGTTGACATGTTGGGGGACAAAACCGCCACGTTCGTTCTGCAATCTGCACTCGCGCGTCCGCTCGTCGTGTTGCCAGCCACCGCCGCTGCGGCAAAGCCAAATGTGGCTCTGCAGTCTGCACTCGCTCGTCGTGCTAATGCCGTGAACCTAGCCGCTTCACTTCCTGCGGACACTTCTTCATCCACCTCGTCACTGCTCGTCGGGGCCGCACGAGGCCCTCCAGCTCCTAGCCAACGCGAGAGCCATCGGAGTGGCCTACAGCGACGTGGTCCTGCGTCGAGCTCCAGCCTGAGAGCGGCTCGGCTCCTCCCGTCCTCCGCCTGCCACGGCCCCCACCAGAACCAAGAGCGCAAAGTAATCTAGGAACCAGAAGTTTTGGTTTAAATCAATTTGAAGCCTTGGATTAGAATTGTACGCTGGAGATTGAGGGAAAGTCACGCTGTGACCTACCAGAGCATAGTCACTGAATCTGTCTCCCTAACACCTGGTGCAAAATATATTATTACACCTCACTTTTCTTATTCTCATCTTTGCACCTCCTCAGCACACACATTACAGCTGCCCTAAGAGCACCATCCTAACATGAGGCCAAGTGGATCAACATATGCTGTGATCCTTCTCAGGCAATCCTGTTACAAAATACCAGGCAATGTAATAACATAAATGTGCTCAATGCATGTTTTCCTCCCACACTTTGGGTGACAATCAATGCAAACACTGCAACAAGGTAATACAGGATGACTCAACTCGAAACGTTCAAAGATTTGTTTGTCACCACTCAGATACAGTAGATGAAAATTTGCTTGCATTGAACAAGAATCAGATGTCCACTGTCGTTGAGCAACCAATGGCAGAATACATGTGCATGACACAGATCAAATCAGCAGATTGCTAATTTGAAAAGACATGAGAAAGGTTTGCCACAATTAAACTAAAGAATGTTTTGAAACCTCACCAACAGTACAACAAGCACTCAAGCTCGAGTGCCAACCATGCTTACATTCATTCATCTCCAATCCAATCTAGGAAACAGCACATGCCGTGATTATTGGTAGCATGCTCCGGGTTGGATCGAATCTGAACCCAACCAGAGTTGCTGCTGCTGTTGCCCAGCAGTCTCCTTTTACTGCTCAACCACCTCCCCTGCAGGAGTTGCAACAGAAGAAGCCCCCGCCTGCACCACAGTTCGGGTGAAACTTGGAGGCAGCTCGTACAGCGGGTGGCTACCCTCTGATTCACCAAGGTAGGCTTGTCCCAGACAGTAGCCCAGTGCACGGGCAACAGGTACCGCCACTGCGTTACCAACTTGAATGTACCTATTGCCATCACACAAAGCACATGTTCAGGGTAAGGATTTCAAGAGATGTAACTGTAACTGACAGATCTATGGCTTCTGCGCACATTTTTCAAGAGAATTGATTGGGTACAAGCAAACTGAAAAGAGGAACTTACTTCTCCTTGATCGGACCAAACAATCGGTAGTAATCAGGGAAGCCTTGCAATCTTGCATTCTCACGGATAGTCAGGACTCTTGCTTGCGTCGGATGCAATATAATCTGTGGACAACATGTTCAGTCAGAATCATTTGAGGATCACAAAAGTTGTAAGCAGAGATTCAGAACAGAGGGGATTTTGTAATCAAGCTTACCTGGTTGTGAGGCTCTGCTCTGGTCACAACTGTAGGAACTGTCTCATCCCACCACAGGCGCCCAAATGGCCTACAACATCACAAGCAAGGACAATTAACCAATTTCCTTCTTATTTAGAAAAGAAAGCATGACAATTTACCACTTACTTTGGTGATTTGCCCTTGATGAATGACATCGCATAGTCAGGAACCTGGACAACAAAGATTTATGCAAAAGGTCATCTTGTCTTAACCACAATTTTACTATACTTGCAGTGTCTCATCACTCAAGTTTGAATCTTTGAATATCTAACATAAACATGATGCGCTTTTGTGGAAACAGTTATATCGAGGACAGCACAAAATTACACATACCAATGGTTTCCCAGACGACAAGTACACACGCTTGATTTCTGGATCCCACTCAACAACATTATTTGCTCCAACTTTGACACCCTTTAGGTCACGGAAGTTGGCTCCCTGTGATAAGAAAGAGCAATGATTGTTTCAGAAGGAGAAATGACAAGGAAGGGACACGCTATCAAGCCACAAACCTTCTTGACAGGAATCTGCTGCACCCGCTCGTAATCATCATTGTTTAGCCGTAAGGGCTGATGATCCAAGAGTTTACCTTCATCTGGACCAGCCTCCCCACCGAAAGACCAGTCCAACATGTCTAGAAGAATAAAATACAGTTAACTTGATGCAATAGTAGCTAAGCATGATCAGAAAAGGTGGTTCTTCTGAAGCTAAATGCTACCATATAGCACACTAGGTCAACCAGTAGAGTTCACTGGGCCTTTTACCTTTACGACCAAGTCGAATGTAGCGCTGGAACTCTGTCTTGGGGGAACGACCATACTCCATTACATCATTAGGCTGATGGTTCTCTACCTGCATAGAAGAGTAAGATTGCATGTACATTGAGAAATGTATGAACTTTACAAAAGACACTTGCCTCTGGTAGATCTGAAATTGCATCACCAAGAAGCAAAGCTTTCTTCAGGGATGGTTTTTGTGTCTCATCATATGCTACAATACATTGCTGCAAACAAATTCAGTTGATCAGCAAATCTTATAGGTCCCAATAGATTTCAAAACTGTGATTGCACTTACCAAAAAAGCATTAGGGGCTCCTCCACGTACTACAACATCATATGTAGGCAGAGGATACTTCGGGAGCACCTACATAGTCAAATAAACCTGATTACCCAGCGGTCAACAGCGCAATATAAAAGTAGCAAGCATACAGAGTGGCAAGAAATAGAACAGACCATGGAAGAAAGTGCACCCCAGAGAAACACACGCATCCGAAACTGTGGTAGGCCATAACAGCCTGCCACCATCATTCCAAGGCGTGCTTGATAGTTCATTGCAACTAGGCAGCTCAAAGCATATCTTCCCAGGTAGCCATCAGCAAACTTGAGTATGTCCACGACATTTTCCATGAGAACATACTTGGGCTTCAAGTATGCCACAATATCCATGAAAGTCACCATTTGCTTGTTTTTTTCATCTTTAAGTGGCTCATTGCGGTTTCTGAACCGATTAAATCCACTAATCCCTTGACATGGTGGGCCTCCACAAATGACATCAACATCACCCTTTTAAAAGAATTGAGGAGGTTATGTGGATCTAAACAAACAGGGATGAAAATCAAATTCAAACAAATACTCACAGGCAGTGGCAGAATTTTTCTCCTGTACCCTTCTTGTACAAATTCTCTAATTTTCAGTGGACAGTCACTGGTTTGTGAAACAAGGATTAGAGTTCAAATAGATGTACCAGGCAACAAGCATATGATATACCAAATACTTACCTCAGGTTATCAATGGGCTCCCATGTGTCCTCTTCAGGACCATATCCCTCCCAATGGACCTGCAAAAATCTAGTCTTACAACAAAATCTACAGAAATATCCATTGTTTGAAAGGCTTCATTTTTTTCCATATTCTGATAGTAATTGAACTTACTTTCTCAGAAATTCTCAAAATCAAAATTGTATGCATTAAAGTACAAATGAATAGATAGCTCTTAAATACCTTAAAATAGAGGCCATTATCCCTGCCACTGCCACCATAGCATATCCCGATAAGCTTCTCTACAACAAATTCATCCTTGTCAAGAGGGCTGCTTCCATCCTCTTCATTTTCCGAGCCTGCTAAACCTGAACTCATGTCTTGATGGACATATTTGTCACACAGGACTGACCATTCCTTAAGCAGAGCAAGAAAATCATCGGCTTTTTCATTCCGCACCTACATTCAAAGACCCAAAGATACTTTGAATTATCTTTGATAATGGAGTGCTAGCTCTCCCCCGCCCCTCTGAATAGATGCAAGGTCTTCAAGGAGGAACTTGCTACTAGAGATGCATAGCCCTTATACATGGCTTGAGGTATAAGTTACAAGTCATGTGCAAGGGTTATACATCTCTAATACTCTGGTTATACTAAGAGCAAAGCTTAGGGTCAAACTTTCATTAGAAGATTGGCTAAGTAGTTTCAGATAACATTTTAGGTTCTTTATTAGGCCCAGGGCCCATGTAACAGATTCTTTCAAGGAAGTTGCAACACCAATCCTTGATATTGTAAGCTTGTCTCACCAAGCCCCCTCAGCATGCAAATTACTTTATGAGATCTCTAACTTTATCTGGCTTGCAACATTGGCCCCAATCACCATTAGCTTAACTGATGGGCACCAAACTAGTGCAATTAGGCTTATACATACCACATTGGCATCTATATTTATCGAGTTGCTTGAACTAGTTCAACCCAAAAGTTTAAATCGATGGGGATTACTCAGGCCTCAAACATGGAAATAGGAATCCGATACAATTATTATATTTAATTGCGCCCATCAGAATTTGAAATCAAGAACTCCATCATAATATCATATTGAGTTGTACACAACAGCCAATTCAAACTAAAAGTTTAAGGTGATGGAAAAGGTGGGCAATTCACTTTATATTTCAACAATAATCGCATCCACTCTTCTCCATCTTGTAATAGGCACGGATCTGCCACGAGTAGGTCACTGCAGTGATTCACTATCTCCTATGCTGCTAGGCCTTAACAAATGCGACAATAACAGTCAGGGTCAAGGTGGGCAATTCAGTTTATATTTCAACAATAATCTTATTCCTAAAAGACACTTTGTATGAGTATAGAAGACACAGAATCCAAGGTGCAGTTTACTACCCATACCTCAGTCTGTGGATGATTGAACTTTAAACTTTGGCATGCAAAACTGTTAAGGTCAACAGCCCATCGCTGTAATGATAGCCAAAAAAAATAAATGAGTGATGAGACTGAAACATATTCTATCGAATCCTACAAAATAAAATACCATCCAACAGATGACAAGGTAGAAAATTACAGTTTCAAGATTCAAGCCAGAACATGCAGCACCCAAGCAAAGGCCAGTGGACATGCCCCCACAGCCAGAATACAAATCAAGAAGGGTTGCTGTCCTCCCTGGCCTACCAGATGACGTCTCCAAATCCGCATCATCAGAAGAAATACCAGAAGTAGTTTCGCTAACAGATTGCCCATTTTCTAGTTGAGAAAAATAAGTGTTAGGGATTTGTAAGAAAAAACATAAACAAATTGATAAGTTTGTCATCATAGACTGTCTAGAATCCAGATCAATGTTAATTACTGAGCTACATGCACCAACCAGACACACTTAGGGTGTGATTGGTTTCTAGCCTGGCTTGTACCGGAGACAACCCAGGCTACTGCTCGCTAGGCTTAACAGATAAAGCAGGTTTGTTTGATTGCCGTTTCCATCCAGCAAGGCCACATAGAGAAGCATTTTGGTTTCCCTGCCAGCACCACTCTCATCCAGCATCATGTGCGCTGCACGCCAGCACCGCAACAGCCAGGCCCAGCTAAAACAAGGATTTTTCACGCATTCATGGCTGATACATTAATGCTGGGAGCGCAGGGAGTGGAAGGTGCTGTGTGAGAATGGTGTCAGCTGGGTGGGAATTGAGTGTTGGTAGTGTTAGGACATCGTTAGGAGATATGGTGCTTAGATGGGCTAATGGGATTTGCTAAGACAATGGGCCAAGTGGGCTATGTAGACATAACTATTCATTTCTCATATTTTCTTTCATATATGTAGCTAATCTCCTGATACATAGCTAGTGTGTTGCTCATAAACATTTAGTCATGCTTAACCAACGATTAGATGCTAAACAGTAACCACCTAACACCCACCATTTTTTATAACCACAAACTTTTGGCAGTGCACCAACTTGTGGCATACTCACAATATACATTCAAAGATTCAAGAGCTACTGCATAACTAGGGGTATCAAATTCTACCAATGAAAAAGATAACCAAAACAACACAATTGCAAGAATGTAAGGCAATTTCCTCCTAAACTGCTACTGCACTTACCTGATGGTATATTAGCAAATGTAGAATATTCGACGGAGTAAGACATATCATAGTATAGGTCGCAATGCTCTATTAGTTGGGCTTTGGCTTTTGGATCCATCTAAGGCAACAAAACAAGCACATTTTTGTTAATCAGAAATTTAAATTCATAAACTATTGTTGGACATAGAAAGGAAACTTACATTTGGATTAACATAGACTATCTTGATCTTCGAGATTATGCAATCAAGGGCATTATCATTCTTTTCCTTGGAAAGAAAAACACGTCTAGGATCATGCTTGTGTCCATCAACATTTATCGACACTAAGGAATTGATAACCTGCAAAGATAGGGTTCAATTCTTTGCTAGTTTTTGACATACAGAAAAATAAACCAATGCTTAATACACACCGTGTCCTCTGCTCGAAAGAACCAACGACAGGTAAAATAGTGACATTGGTCAATCCCCTCAAAAAATTCAGTAATGCGACCAATGTAGTCAGCCTCGTTTTCTCCAGCCTGTGATAGGCAAAAATGAATCAGAAATTTAAATTCGTAAACTATTGTTGGACATATAAAGGAGCGACATCATAGCAAAATCATCCAGTTATACTTTAGCAACCATTATTTTGAGCATTTTTGTTAATGCATAATCAATGTTCATGTCCAATTATATTAGAAAGAACTTTCATCAAAGCTAGAATCGATAAGATAAACTATATTCTATTTTATAATATCAGACATCACAATGTATTGTAAGCAAGCACTGACACATGCAAACTAAGGGCGCGTTTAGATCCAAAAAATTTTGGGTTTTGGCTACTGTAGCACTTTCGTTTGTATTTGGCAATTAGTGTCTAATTATGGACTAATTAGGTTCGAAAGTTTCGTCTCGCGATTTCTCACCCAACTGTGTAATTAGTTTTTTTTTCGTCTACATTTAGTACTCCATGCATGTGCCGCAAGATTCGATGTGATAGATACTGCGCAAAAATTTTTGGGTTTTGGGGGAAACTAAACAGGCCCTAAATTCAGAATTAAGCAAAAGTTTTAGATACTGAAAACACCATTCAGGACCTTTAGTTTGCAATAAGTATAGAACAGTTAGCAGCTTTAAAACGGTAGAACAGTGCATGTTCAATAGAATCAAAAGGATCCAGCTTTTAACAGCAGCCTATGCACAAGGCCTAGCAACAGAACCAAATAAGACAAGCAGAGCAACAACAGAATCAAACAAGACACCAAGCAGAGGATTGTGTACATACATTCAAAGCACCCCTTTATGTATGAATAGCATAAACCACTTGCTAGGCACACATCACTAGGAATAGATTTTAAAAAGCAATTCATCCTTCCATCAGTGACATGAGCCCAGCAAAAGACAATAACAAGAACATCATAAATATAAGATGGACATAAGTAATCACTAATGTATGCAAATTAAGAAAGGCTTAACAAATGTTTAGCGTCATTTCAAAGAAGAATAAGCAAATTTTATAGCATTCCACATACTGTTACATAAGAACAATCACCAGAAATAAGTGGATAAGACTGCAGTTCAATGCAACTAGAAGCATCAGGTAATTACCACAACCTAAACAAACGTGTAATAGTTATCACACAATTTCATGGTAGCATTTCCTTGTTGCTTTGCAAACAAATATCACATACTATGTAAACTGCACAAGCAGCTAAAAATGACATACCCAATACTCAAAGCTCCCACAAAAAATTGGGTTAAAGGTGTTGAACTGCAAGCTAATCTACATTTTTCTAGATCCAGCAAAGTGTTTTGTACATTTAGTGAAAGGCCAGCACTGCTGGCTATACACAGATTGCATCACTGGGAACTGACAACAAATAATCACACAATCGCTTGATTCCTTAACAAAAACATGAGCGCGGCATATATGAGAGCAGCTGCAGCTGCAGCATGGCACGTAGAGAAGGCAATAAAAGCGGTGAACAATGACCTTGACGTAGACGTCATCGCCGAGGCTATAGACGATGTTGTCCACCTTGGCGCTTCGGTAGTGACACCTGGCCTTGACGTCCTCTTCCTCATCCAGCCTGCAAGCGCGACGAATCAACGAAAAAGACGGGGACACAACAGGAAGCATGGATCTGGGATTGAATCAAAAGCGAACCAGTGTAGGGAGGGATTTGTACCTCTTGGCGGCCGTGCTGCGCTCGTAGCGCTTGGGCCAGCTGCTGCGCGCCTCGGCCGCGGGGACGGGTTCGCCGACGAACTCTGGCTCGTGGTCGCCGACGGCGGCGGCGGTCCTTCTCCCCACCCTCTTCTTCCCAGGCGACCCTGCAGCGGCCGCCGCAGCTGCTTCATCCTGCATGGCCTGCTCCTCTGCCTCGGCCTCTGCCTCCTCCTCGCCTATAGCCAACTCCTCCTCGTCGGGCTCGTCCGCACAGACGTCGTCCTCCACGGGATCCTCCCTCTCGGCCTCCCCCTTCTTCTTCTTCTTCCTCCCCGCCTTGGGAGATTTGCTCTGCTTCGGCTTCTTCTCGGAAGAAGCCGCCGCCTTGCGACGGCGCTTGGCGGAGGACGCCGCCGCGACCACCTCCTCCTCCTCCAGGTTCTGGTGGATCTCCTCGGTCTTGGCAGCGCGCTTCCGTGCGGAGACGCGCGTGGGCGCGGCAGACGACGGGGAGCTCGGCGCCATGGCGAGGGTCGCGGTAGCTGTTGTGCCTGTCCCTTCGGGGAAGTTGGGGAGAGGGGTTTGGGGGGAGAACGAGAGCTGAGAATGGCCTCTGGGGTTTTAGAGATCGAATCGAATCGAAGATTGGTATATAGAAATCTGAAATCTGAAAATTGGGAGGGAGGGGACGGCGGCGGGAATCGAAATTTGAAAAGACGAGGGGAAGCGGCGGGGCTGCGAGCGGTGAATACTGGACGGAGCGGATCAGCGGGGCCTGTTTTCGTTGGAAGGACGCGCGGGCGCCGGACAGACAGCCGGTTCGAATTTTCGTTTACCACCGGCGGGCACGTCAGTCTGGCCTTTAGCTCATGTTACGGGGTGTTCGGCTGGTCACATTTTGACATTATTTCGACCGACCGGTTTCGGTTGATTTAATAATGATATCTGAGAGATAATAAGTTAAAATAAATTGAAACAAGAAGAGACTATACCAGCTAAACACCTAGGTACTAAATTAGAAGTCCTCAGTAATCCATGAGACGACTTTATTAAGCCAGTTAAAAAAAACACGAATTTATTAAGCATAATTAATCAATCATTAGCACATGTTTATTGTAGCACCACGTTATCAAATTATGGGATAATTAGGTTTAAAAAATTCATCTCCCAAATTAGTCACAATTTGTGCAATTAGTTATTTTTTTTAAGTCTATACTAGGTAGCGTGTCCGTACGTTGCTACGGGATAACTAAATCTTTTGTACTAAAAACATACGGATCGCACTATAAGATAACAATACTGTTAAATTAAATACTGACGTCAAAGTGACATTTAATTCAAGAAGCAAAGTTCGTAAAATTAACACAGTCACGGAGAGCGCGACGTCGCAGGCTCATAAACTCTACTGTATAGACTTTTTCGTGATATGGCTAAAATAATATTTTATATCGGCAGAAAGAATTCTACGATATCCATTTCTTTCCTGCGACAATAAATCCATGAATAAATTCCACTGTATCTCCATATAATTATGTACACACATATTCGAGTATATATGTAAATAGGTTCGTGTCCGTGCGTTGCTACGGGACAGCTAAACGTTTGTATTAAAAACACACGGATCGTACGATAAGATAACAATACTGTAAAAGCATATGACCGACGTTAAAGTGACATTTAATCCAAAAAGCTAAGTTCATGAAATTTACACAGTCACAGAGAGTGTGGTGTCGCAGGCTCACAAACTCTACTGTGTAGATCTTTCCGTAATGCGGCTAAGATCATTTTTTATACCGGCAGGAAGAGATTTCCGATACCTATTTCTTTCGTGCGCCAACAAATCCACAAATAAGTTCCACCACGTCTCCATACCATCCTGTACACGGCGCTGGCAAGCGAATTAGCCACAACTTATATAATTAGTTTTATAATTAGCTCATGTTTAGTCCTCCTAATTTATATCTAAAAATTCAATATGACAGGGACTAAAATTTAGTCCTGGGATCCAAATACCCCCTAACTCTTGACTCCTGCTGGCTGCTCACTTACACCACCATGCATATATGTCTGCACGTATATACTCTAATGCCAGAATGTCTAAGATAGTTTTTATTGTCCACCCTTTAAAAATATCATAACTTTAATGTTGTCATTTGTGTATGATGTAGGATTGGAATGCTTTGCACTGATCCATGAGGGTGTCCATGAGAGTCGAAATTTTTGATGTCATTATGATGTCTAAGCTTAGTAATCAGATAGAGACGAACTTGATTGTTAAAATATTTTCAACACTGCTTTCATATACTCTCTCTGTCCCAAAATAGAATTCATTCTCGCTTTCCGAGAAGTCAACTTTTTTTTTAACTTCGATCAATTATATATAAAAGAATATTAATATTTATAATACATAATTAGTATCATTACATAGAACATTGAATATATTTTCATAATAAACTTATTTGGAGATATAAATGTTGCACGTATTTTTTACAAACCTAGTCAAAGTTGAGAAAGTTTGACCTGTACACATCCCATAACGACTTATATTCTGGGGTAGAGGAAGTATATGCTAATCGGAGTAGTCAACTGGAAGTCATGATGAACACAACAATACTTTCATTTTATATGTTAATTGGAGCACGAAGAAACGCAGGGGAATGGACCTATATACTAATGGTGGAGGCGAGCTGTTATCGGGTAAGTCCAAGTGGAGGCCCGTGCCACATTCGATAGGGGTCGGCTAGCGGTCCAGAGACACACTCTAAAAGTACCAGAGGGCTTCTCTAGCGGGTCCCAGAGCCGTTCGATAGGCCCCGAGGGCTTGATGTCTCCCTACGGTGGAATCCTATTCGGAGACCTCCCTACCAGTCTCGGACACGACTTAGGGCGTCCTGAGTGATCGCTTGCTCGGGCCTCGGCCATGTACGGGCTCGCCCATAGTTGTCCCTGACTCTATTATCCTGGGGCGGCTGTCGAGACCCTCGGGGGCCCAGCCTTCGAACCCCTAGACCGTAACGGGCTCGGCGCCCAGTTCCTTAGTTTGAAAGGAATCAGGTGGGGGGATATTCCCCTCCCATCGGCTGACAACGGTGGGCGCGCCTTTTGAGGTGGTTTCTCGGGGCCTGCTGTTGCTGCGGTTGGATGCGACGCTGTGTCAGCGGACGAGACATAACTGTTCGTGCGATTAATGTGGAAAAGGTGGGCGCGTGGGCGGTAAAATCAGATCTGGATTAACTGTGCCAGATTTGAGGGAAACTTCCCCGATTTCATAACCCGTCCGTTTCGTCCCCTTCCTGCATAAATACACAACGAGCCTCGCCCCTCCCCCCCCTTACCTTGCCTGCATTTGCTTTTGCTGCCCCCGAGCCGTAGCTAGGATCAGAGAGCACCGGGGAGAAGAAGGGAGAAGGGCGAGGGAGAGAAAGAGAGAGACTTACCGCCGTAGCAGCATCCTCCACCGCACAATGGCCGGTGGCCCTGTCATCCTCCCGGCGGATCCTTGGGATCCATCCGAAGTGTCCGTGGAGGTGCTGCAGTCGCTCGTCGACGATGGCCTTCTCCGCCCGATCACCGACCCCGATAGGCCGGAGTGGATTGCTCCGTCGGGCGAGCCGGAGCCGAGGCCACGTGAAGGGTACATCGTGAGCTTCGTGTCTTTCCATGAGCGGGGTCTCGGCCTGCCTACGGATCGATTCATGTGGGCGCTCCCGCATTACTACGGCGTGGAGCTGCACAACTTCAACCCCAACTCCATCGCGCAGGCGGCCATCTTTGTCGCCGTCTGCGAGGGGTACTTGGGCATTGCCCCCCCCCCATTGGGAGCTGTGGCTCCATCTCTTCCGGGCGGGGCATACCACCAAGCCAACGGGCATGATAGGTACGAGGAAGATGATGAGGGCCGGCGGCTGCACTCTCCAGGTGCGCCAAGACCGGCAGCAACTTTACATCCCGGCCCAGCTCGCGTCAACCAATCGCCGCTGGTACACTAGCTGGTTCTACCTCCGCAACGATGACAACGGACTTCCCCCCTACACCGGGCAGATCGTGGAGGACTGTCCGGAGAAGTGGAGGTATGGCATCTCGAGGGAGGATCAGCCCAAGCTGCAGCCGCTCCTGCAGGGCCTAGAGAGGCTGAAGGACCACGGCCTTATGGCGGCTGTGGTCGTGGCGGCCTTCCATCGCCGAAGGGTGCTGCCGCTGATGGCTCGGCGGTGGCACCTGTTCGAGATGAGACTGGACGAGCCGCTCGATGGCGTCCGGATGTTCGCCGTCGCCCTCTCCGACGAGGAGGTTCTACATCGGGTGAAAGGGACGGTGGAAGGGTGGTCGAAGAGCGGTGGTTTGTACTCGTTCCTGATGCGCCCGTCGCGGGGGTACATAACTCTGGTAAGTCACACATTGCTGCCGCCTCCGAGGCCTTCTTGCTCCTCACCGTTTCTAGTTCCCTTACTTGCGTTCGCCATTCCAACAGGGGATGAGAGCCATGCGAGCCTCCCTGCCGCCCGTTCCCAAGGACGCAGAGCGGCGGGCGGTGAACCGGGCGCATGTCGAGGCGTAGAAGAAGAAGAAAGATGCGGAGGAGGCAAAGCGCAAGAGGAAGAACCTTAAGCGTGAGCAGCTGGAGAAGCGTCGCCGGCAGCAAAGGCAAGACAGTCTCCCGATGGAGGCGTCTCCGACGCCGTCGCTGTCGGTGAACTCTTCGGACGAAGACGACGAGAGTGAGGGGGGGCGGGGTCCCCTGGACCATCTCCCCGACGTCGGGGGGACAGTGCCCAGGGCGTCGGCGAGTAGCCCGGTGTTTCTAGGAGGAGGAGGAGGGGACGCCTCAGGGCCGACAATCGCCCGTCTCAGGTCCGAGGCCGTCACGCCCAAAGCATGGGAGCTAGGGAAGCGCGCCGTCAGCCCAGTGGGCTCGACGGCAGAGGTGGAGCAGGCGGCGGTGGGGGCGACGCAATTGCCCCTGCAAAAGATCGAGGGGGCGCTGTGGTTTGGCGGAGACCGGCCGGCCTTGGTGGACACGGAGGCTGTGCCTCAGCCGCCGCCACCGCCGTTGCAGAGGAGGGTAGCCGTGCCGAAGCGGTTGTATCCCCGTTCGAGGTGAGCGTCTTTTCGGCGGAGTTTGTAGTATCTCCCGCTCGCCCCTTGGTCGTACGCTGACCTTGGGAGTGTTTTTGCTTTCAGCCAGAAGCGTTATTTGGAGGGCCTGCCTTGGCGCCACGTAAGGCGCTCAAGGTGAGCGCCAGCTCCACCGCCCAATGGGCGGCGGAGGCGTAGACCACCGTGCAGCTTGGTGCGGCGTCGGCCTAGGCCAACCTGGAGGAGCCGTTCGCCCAAAGAGAGGCTCCCGAGGCGGCCATGGAGTGGGCGGGCGAGGAGGCGCCCAAGACCTCCGAGGCTGAGGTGGCCGAGGCTAGGGCTCCTGAAGTCGAGGTGCCTAGTGTCGAGGCCCCTAGGAACATCGAGGCCGAGGTGGTAGAGGCGAGCGCGGCGGACCCGGTGACCCGGGATACAGAGATGGAGGCGGG